TTTGATGTATTTTTTTTTGTTTCCAATTATTTATTTATATATTTAATAAATTATTTATTTAATTAATTATTTATTTATAGTATGCAATTGGAATATGCAGGTGCTTTATTGAGATTGGGATTTAAGGGAGACTTTTGGGAATTTATTTTGCCACTTGCTTTTATGAAAGGATCTAACATTTTTACTTTATTTTTCAAAAGTCGAATTTCGATATTTAATTAAAATTTTAATAAATAATGTAGAATGTTTTTTGTTTAATTGATAGTTTGAATTAATTATTGACTTTACTATTTGAGTGTATATTTACATTGGGCACTCACTATTGATTGTGTATGTCTTTTTCAATATCCATCCAAATTGTTTTAATTTCTCAAACAAAATGGGATATTTAGTTTCTATTTTCACGGTACGGTAAATTACACCTGCACTCCGATATGATAAAATAACTTTAAGGTCTCTATGGTATCGATAATTACAATCATTCCCCTGAAACATTGTTGCAAATCTTAACAAAATAATGCATCGATAAGTTATCCCGTTAGGGTTCTAACGAACTATTAATTTCAGATAGTGGTGGAGACAACATAGAGCTAAGAGGCGACATGACTCTCCTAACATTTCTTAAATCGTTATTATGTTATAAAAAATTTATAAATTTTCATCTATGGTAGCATTAACGGCCCCACGGAATAAAATATAGTGCATATCAGTCCAAGGACATGAAATCTTTGTTTCGGTAATTGTTTCAAGGGTGTCGCTGTAATTACCAATAGTACATGGACCTTAAAATTATTTTAACATATATGAGGGTTGTAGGTGTAATTTACCCTTCATAATATAACTGATGGTATCCAATTCAAAGTCTTCCACTTGAGCTGTAATCACATGACACGTGGCACCAAGCTGGTGGATATATGACACAAAGATATACACATATATAGTATATGATGATATTTTAACCCCCTACAAAAATAACTAGTACAATTTGGTCACGTGCCAAGTGTGTGGGGCCACAAGGTAAGATTACAATATTCTGGATCTTCTTTAACCATAATTCAGTATCTACATGCATCATATATACATATTATCGGCATTACTAAGGGCCCGTTTGGTAGGAACGACGTGATTACATACGATACTTACAGGTGGGACCCACTTTTTTATAATCTTACACATCGTCTAGAACTTGTAAGGACTAGGCTCCGAACGGGCTTTGCAAGATCCGGGCTTCGCAAATGCCACGCGTATAAATCTGCCCTCGAAAAACTGGACACCAAACAGATCATTCCCATTTCAAAAATAAAAATCGGTAATTAAAACTTTATATAATCGACAAAAAAGGATGCTTACATGTCCGTTCATTTCGTCCACAGCAGCTTGTGCGTGGTCTTCTCTAGCAAACCAGACGTAAGCAAACCCTAGGGGTTGCTTCGTTTTCTTGTCGCTTACGATTTTGACTGCAAAAACATGCGACGAAATCAAATTTCTCGTTGACTTTTCAAGGGTGTAAAAAATGATAATATGTACAAATGTGCAAGGCCGCCTAGAGTAAAGTTGCAAACCTCGACTGACTTCTCCAAATCGTGAAAATTCCGATTTTAGCCCTCCCTCTGAAGTCGATTGCGCTAGTCCTGTATGTCAATCTCTATGCTTAGGCAGAGTATATATATATATATATATATATATATATATATATATATATATATATATATATATATATATATATATATATATATATATATATATATATCTTATGCATTAATTTTGCAAGAACTCAGTACAAAGACTATAAGTGCTGCATTATAACAACCAACAAATTGCTCATATTCGAAGACTTAATAAAACAGAGTACATAAATTAAAGGGTAAATTACAGTCAGACCCTGAGGTAATGTCAAATTGCGAAACCCCCCCTCATTTTTGGGTAATTACAATCACCCCTCAACTATGAATCTTCTTACACGTTTACCCTTGTCGTGTCAAATTTAGTGGAATATTCTCTCCAGTATGTAGTCGTTTTACCCAATTCGAGCTCCACATTTTGAAACAACAAGATCATAAGATATGTTTCTTGGCTTGTAAATATTAGATTGTGGTCCATCAGACACTGCATTTTTGCACAAAACGAGAAAATTCCACGGAATGTAGAAAATTATGTTGAATTCGACACCGTAAGGGTGAACGTGTAAGAAGATTCAAAATTGAGATGGGTGGTTGTAATTACCCAAATAAGATGGGGTTTTTTCGTAATTTGACCTTAATTCAAGGGTGGCCGCAATTTACATATGTACAGATGCAAAGAGCTATTGTGAATATTACATATCTACCATTCATTAACAGCTTTTTTCATATACATAAAAATGAATTAAATGGAAACTACACAGGCTGACAAAAACAAGAAAAATGAAAATGTGAAAAAAGATTGTACCTTTGATGAAGATAATCACATTGGAGGAAGCCCCTTTATCCAATTCACCTGGATAACTCAAACTTGAGCTGGGTTTGTTTTTATGGATAAATGAATCGATAAGTTTAGCAGGAGCAGAAATTGAAATTTTTAAAAATTCGGAATTAGGGTTTCTGGGAATCGACGTAATTGCTGTAAATGGTGTTCGAATTGCGTAATTCCGATGAGATTTAGGGCACGGAATTGGGGGTTTACAAGGTGGGCAAAAGAGGGCCATTTGGAACCCTAGATTTTTATCGTCTACAGTGCCTATTTTACAGTTCGTTCCTCTTTGTGAAGTGTATTGACAATATTGGGCTCCAATTCAAATGGGCTTTAGTGGCTCAAATGAATATTTAAAAATTGGAGTTAATTATTTTAAAGAAACCCAAAAAGCCCAAAACTGAAATGCAGATTTTTTTTGTTTTTTTTTTCTAATTTGTTATTTTTAATTTTTTTTTTATTATAAATTCACTGGTGGAATTGGTTTTGTTACGTTCATCATCACACCATACCATAGATGCTTGATTATAATTATATCAATTTACACTACAAAAAGAAAGTCCAATTGAAGTCCAGCAAGTGAAAAGCTTATCGAAGATGACTATAAACACTAGATTTTATGATTTATTCAAGGTATGTTCTATTTCTTTGACCATTTAGAGAGCTTTCTACTCTACGAAGAATATTCCTGCTGACTTGATCGTCGGAGGTTAGTCGTCAGGTCAGCCCCAACGAGTCACCTAGTGTTTGTCTCGGTTTTATAGGTTGGAGCGAAGAATTCTAGTCTGCACGAGGACTATCAATCGACATTCAAATTTTAACCAAGTATGACCTTGGACACGTGGCAGGGGACCTCACTTTCCCAATTTACACGAGCTTAGATATTCGTGAATGTACTTCAACAACATTAAATATAAATTTCAGAAATTATACTTATAATATCTTGAAAATTTAATCTTCCGACTTTTTTTCTTTTTTCTGGGGTCAAAATTATTTTATGCTTTAATTTCACGACGACTTCAAGAAATGCACATATTTGACCAAAAACAATGCCCCTCAATATATTTTTTCGCATCGAGAGTTATTAGTTGAATTCATCCGTATAAGTTCAATGAATTAAAAAAAAATAGCTTCAAATTATTTCATTAAGATGAAAACTAAAGTGGATGTTAGCACAAGACTTCTCCTATAATGTAAAATGACTTGCAAAATCAAGAAAATCACAAAAGGGGGAAAAATATAGATACTTAAGAATAATATTGAGAAAAATTCGATTTGATGGAGACATATAATTATTTTGTGACACACACAAGTAAATCACTCAAGTACATTAGAATATCAATCATTAATTTAACATTTATTTGATATAAACTAATGTGATAGAGAAATTATATGTCACATTATTCGTTCGTGACAGAGAGATCTTATTGCTGGCAAACACTAGTGAATTAATTTGACATGAGAATATTAAGAGAAACTTCAAACACACTTAATTTTGAGAAGCTTGTCACCAATTTTGAATTCAAATTCATCCAATTGTAAAATTTTGGTTAGGGATGTAAACGAGTCGAGCTCGATCCGAGGCTGGTTGTTTTGACTAGCTCGAGAATAATAAAGCTCGCGAGCCGGCTTGCAAGTTCACCAACAGCTAAAAATAGACTCGAGCTCCGATCATCATCAGAAAACTCAAGTTCGAAAAACTCGAGTTCGAGCTTTTATCGAGTCGGCTCAGCATCCCTAGTTTTGGTGTTTTCGGGTTTAGTATAATAGTTCGATACTACATATTGGGCATGTTAAAATGGAGAAATCGACGTTGTATGTTATGATACCTTAGTGCATTACAATGACTAGACCTCAATTATTCCCCACTTAATGTAATAGTGAACTTTATAAGTATCTACTCCTTTCATGTTTTTTTATTTAAATTATGTTAACATGGTTAGCAAAAAATATTGTCACTATACTTGTAAAAAATGGGGTGTCGTTAATTCTATATAGTGACGGTAAAAAATGATTATGTATTTTGACACAAAAAAAGAAAATAATGTCACTTAATATATACATTTATTGATAATTTTCACTAATGCCGTTTTTTTTTTTGTAATATATAATATGTATATATGTTTGAAGATGTATGCTCACACTATATAAGGGTAAATTACAACCGCCGCTCCTAAGGTTTAATATATTTACGAAAAAATCCCTTATTTTTCATAGTCACATCCGCCTCGTATAATTTGTAGATTTCTTATATTTACACCATTTTGTAGAAGGGTGGGATGTAAGACATTTACAAACTGCAGAGCACTGACTATAATTTCTTAAAAATTAGGAGTTTTTTTCGTGAATAGACTTTACCTATGCAGATTCAAGAGTTTGTCTCGGGTGCTCATAGTTTAACTAATTAATTCTTATAAGTAGGTTTAATTTTCGAAATTCAAGATTATTTAAATAAAAAATATAGAATTACTTTGAGGGGATATATTCTTAATTGTAACTGTCACATTCAACCTTAGAAAGACTATAGGAATGAGAATCCATTAATTAGTTCCCATGAAAGGTTAAAAATGATTAATTAATTATCCTTCCAATCACAGATATCGCAATGGCATGGGATTATAAGCTAACCCACTTTTTTACTATAAAGTTGATTTTGACCACTAATTTATTAATTTCTTCCATAAGTGAAAAGTTTAGTATTATTTGCTATAAAAACAAATAATATCTTTATATCTAATTAATCCAGGTCCACTGTCCCTTGTGAGTGGCTCTTAATATATATATATATATAAATGTGTGTGTGTATATAAGTAATAAAATATTATAAATTTTAGTTTAAATATAAATAAAATATTTAACAAAATTTTTTGTTCTTCTAAATGAAAATAAAATAAATAATATAAATAATAGTACAAAATAAGTAAATATTTGATGCAAGATACAAATTTACATATAATCATAGTTTTTACCAAAAAAAAGTACATCATATGGTTTACCATTTAATACCGTGTATCGTTCGTGTTTGCTCGACTTTACGCATTTTCGTTTGCAGATCGAGAGAATCTATGTTATTTTTTGTTGAGCTTGTGAACTTTTTTTCCTTAGCTTTCTTGCATAGAGAAATCTAAGTTAAATTTTTTTTTTTGAGCTTACGAACTTTTTTTCCTTTCGGCGTAGAACTTCAAAAAGTCGAATTTCCTTTTCAAATGCTAAAAAAAGACGAGAATAATTTCCGAAAAAGACATTTCTAGTCATTAATGAAATCTAAAAGTGGCTAAGAAAAATAGGAAAGAAGATGAGATGGGGAGTTACAATATTCACCCTTCTAGTGATTTTTTTCAATATTCAAGTTATTTATGTCAAAAATAAATAAATAAATAAATTAAAGATTTTAAACGTCAAAAAATATATCGAATCAATTATATAACTTTTATGAATTGGCTGCATTTTCATGATTAGCTGGGATAAAATGGATTCCAAGAGGAATATGATACCCAACCTTTGGTGGAAAAATATATTTAATTAATTAATTAATATTCACACCACCCTCACTGATAATTTATTTAAATCTCATATATGTATATAATTACATAAATAAAATAAATATTTAATTATTTTTTAACATATATATATATACCAATAATATGAAGTGGTCAATCCGCGAATAACACAGCTCACATTATACAAGATAGATTACACAAAATTAAAGGGACACTTCATAATTTATATAGACATAAATAATTAAAAGTGAAGACGCCCCCAATTAATTTTTTTTTTTCTTTTTTTCTAAATTGGGAATTTAATTAGGGCAGAAAATAGGTCAAAAACAAGCGCCGTCAGATTTAACTGTACGGCCGACCAATATTTAGGTACTTTTTTTAACCGTGTGAGTTTTGTGATGGCAACGTTTTGAGAGAGGAAAAAGACAAAGAGCAGGTAGATTCGGGTGGGTTGACACGTGGCAGAACCAGCACTGCTCCACGTGGCATTGTTGTGACTATCTTATTATTCTCACTCGGTGTGATGAGAAAGATTAGCACAATGATTATTGTTCTTTTTTTTTTTTTTTTTTGTAATTATTAATTTGCGGTTAAAAATTAATATTAACTAGCGGGTGGCGGCTGCAACGGCGGCGGTTGAGTTGGTGGGGCCGAGGATGACGGTTGCTGACGACGACATAGGGGGCGTCGGCGGTTCATCGCACAAGAACCGGCCGACGATCGCGGTCCCGGGACCGGCGACCACCCTCTCCCATGCTTCGTCGGCGTCTCCGCCGTGGCGGAGGAGCGCCTCGGTGGCGTTGAGCCGGTGTATCCGCCGCTCGAGGTGCTCCTCCAGCCTGGCAATATTCCTGAGCTGGCAGCACACCAAATTCCGCGTGCACGCTTTAATCTGGTCAACGGCTCTCTCAAGAAGGTCAGCCCTAGTGACGTCATCAACCAAAGTCTCGTTTCTGAAGAACTCGTCCATCTCCGGCACCCCGATGGCCCGGCGATACCCCGACTGTAGTCTCCGCCGGCGCCGGCGAATAACTCCCGGGCTTCGTCCACAAGTCCGGCGACGACCATCCGGTCAACGCGCTTGGAGACGAAGTAATGCAGGACGGGGAGAGAAACATCCACCCAGAGGAAGCAGCACTCGTACCTCGACCGGAAGTAGTGGTCGTCGCTCACCAGCGCCTTCACGAACGAGTTCGACCCGCCGGCGATGATCGGCAGCCGCCCCCTGTGGGTGATTTCCTCCGCCGCGAGGGAGGCACGCTCCACGAAGTCGGCGGCGGTGAAGTCGTCGTCGGGGTCGGCGATCCCGAGGAGGTGGTGGGGGACGCCGCGGCACTCGGCGGCGGTGACCTTGTTGGTGACGACGTCGAGCCCCCGGTAGACTTGCATTTTGTCGGAGTTGATTATCTCCGCCCCGAACCGGGTGGCCAGGTCTATGGAGAGCCGGGATTTTCCGGTGCCGGTGGCGCCCATCACCACCACCACCTTCTCCTTGCGGCGCTGCCGCGGGAGGATTAGCTTGTCCATTATGTTGATCAGCCCCGCCGGAAAGTTCACCAGCGGCGGCGCCGCCGCCTGCGGCGGCTTGCAGGCGGAGAATGAGATTCTCATGATTATATATATATATATTCTCTTAATTACCACCTGTTTGATCATTACCAAAACATTAATTTAACTACGAGAATAATACAAGATAATAATTAATTTATATATATATATATATAACAACAAATAATTAATAAAATGGAAATGGAAATTAAATAAAAATACCTTTATAAGTAGTGAGAAGAAGATGCGGCGAATGGGGGATGACAATCAGAAAACCTGTGCAATTATTTGTTTTCTATTGTAAAAATTAAATGAAGAAATTAATTAGTTTGATTAATGATTAAGTGTTCTGATTTAAAGCTTAATCAGAAGTATATTTATAGTGTGTGTGTGTGTGTGTGTGTGTGTTTTCTCCTGAGAAAATGAAATTGCCTGCAAAATATGAAGGAGTGGGGAGGTATTTATATTAATGGTGGTGGGAAAGTGGAAGCCATGCATATTCTCTAAGAAAGGAGTCAATGCCTTACACGTGTCAACTCCTAATTTCTTTCTTTTGTTCACTCTTTTATGTTTTATATCGAGACTCAGTAGATGCTACATCTGATTAATTGTTTATTTTAGGTGGATGTATTTTAACCCTAGATTTACATTGCATTAGGCGAATGTGTGTTTAGTGGGTGGTTATTTAATCAGGTATACAATTGAAATCTATCTCCCCAGATATTACACTTAGTGAACTTTTTTTTTGTTTTTTTTAAATGAGAATAGTTATTGGTTCTATGATTCTCGTCCTCATGTCTCGAACCCATGATCAAATAGTTTTAAGTGCACGGTGTTTACGAACGGGCTACCTTGTGTTGACTAAGTGAACTTAGAAAATCGGGAGTTTGGATGCAGGGTACCCGTATTATTCTTGGATTTATACCTTCAAATTCATTAAATAAGTGAATATTTGTAGTTTTTGATAAAAATGGTATAATTAACAACAGGAAAAAATAAAATTAAGAGCACGAAGAAGAAAAAAATGGAGTGGTGGTGGGTGAAACCACATATTTATAGATTTGTACATATGCAGGGGCGGATTCAGGGGGTTTTGGGTGGGGGCTAAAAAAAATTTTGAGGTAAAATGGTATAAAATTTTAACTTTAGGGAGCTAAAGTGTATAAATTAAAAGATAAATAATCCAAAATATTAAAAAAATAATAAAATAAAGGTAAAAAAAAAAAAATCTCCAGGGGCGGGGGCCCCCAACACATGCCTTGGGTCCGCCCCTGTACGTATGTATATCGTGATTTTGTAGAACTTACAACTTATGTGTGTATGTGTGCTTAGTGAGTAGTTATTTATGTAGATTTACGGTCCAATACCGCATTATATATTTCATCGGGTATTGGATCTCCGTATCGTACATTCATATCTACGATTGTGCTATGGGTAAATCAAATATGAAAAATAGTGTATTTCGAGAGGTAATTCATGTAGGATTTAAAAGGTAACTAATCAACATTACAAAAAATATAAGTACTTATCTGAATAAATAATGTAAATTTTACATCGAAACAAGAAACAAAAGAATTTTGTCAATATTAATTCTTTTTTCATAAAAAAAAAAAAAAAAATAGGTTACAGGTACAAACAACAAGAATCTCCAAATTTAAATTTGGAGATATGTTTTTTATTTAATTAACACTAAACTTTGTTAATTAGTTTGTCATTATCCTGGCATTAACTATAAGCACTGATCAGTGATCACATTATCAGCACTATATATATAGGTGGGCAAGTTGTTTTCTCAAAAGCAGCGGCGTGAATAATTTATAATTATATTTAGAGTTGTTTAGATACCAAGATTAATTAATTATATTATATTATATTATTAATTAATTACTACATGCTAATTAATATCTAGGCACCCCCACCTTAATTAATAAACCTTACTTAATTAAATCATTAATCTATTTTTATTTAGTGGTTTTGACTATCTCAGTTGAGTTATCTCAACCGAATTTTGCTGTCATATTCAACAGAAAGCTGAGAAGTGAATCACCAATTAAAGCTTTCCTAGTAATTAATTAATTAATAATTACTAATTAATAATAATCCTAAATTAATATATAATAACGTGCACAAATATTCTGTGTTTGTGTTGCCCATGTGACACTTAGCATGTTTGTGTTATGTGGTGGAGAAATTTTAATTATTTTATTTATATTATACTAGTAATTGTCCCCGTGCGATGCCCGGGGCAACAAATTACATTGTTTTGATATTGTAAAAATATAAACAAACGTTTGATGTATCCTATGATCAAAATATTGTTATAATAATCATTCATTAATAATTCATTAGTGGAACATTTCTAAGTTTTCTACCCCCCCCCAAAAAAAAAAGGAAAAAAAAAAAAAAAAAAAAAAAAAAACAAATAATTTTACTGTTGAATAATTTTCTAAATAAATGAATCAAC